ACGTTGTATGTATATATCCACCTTTCAACAAACCGACCTCTCATCTTTTCTGCTGGAGCCATAACGTTTATTTTCATGCTTACTTTACTCCAACGAACGAAAAACCTCAAAAGTACACTACACGGCACCCTCGTTCATACTCAGTCGTTCGACCCTTGACTCGCACTTCGTGGCAAGATTTTCCGATGGGGCGAACTAAAAGAAAGCTGAGTTGAAATAAAAAAAAAAAAAAAAAAAAAGTTTTGAATGAGAAAAATCCTCAATTTTTTTTTTTCGACTGCGAATAAAAATTCCCCTCTTTTAAAAAACAGCTTTCCCGACTAAAACGATATCTATAATGAATAGACAATATTGTAAACTAATATATTTTTTCGATGTAATCAACAAAAAAAAAATTTTTTTTTATATAAATATATTTTTTAATATATATTTTTTAAATATAAATTTTTTTATAAATATATATATATATTTATTTATATATATTAATATATATATATATATATTTTATATATATATTTAAATATATATTTTTTTATATATAGGTAAATATTTATATTTTTATCAATATTTTTTTTAAATTTAAATATTTTTCTAAATATATTTTTTAAAATATATTTTTTTTAAATATAAATTTTTATATTTTTAAAAATTTAATTTTTTCATATATAAATATTTATAAAATTAATTTTTTAAAAATACTTATAGACATTTTTATAAATATATTTTTTTAAATATATATATATATTTTTTTATTTTATAAATATATTTTTATAAATGTAAATACTTTTATAAATATAAATATATTTTTTTAATATTAAACCTATATTTTTTTTAATATAAATATTTATAAAATTAATTTTTTTACAATATTTATTGATATTTTTCAAATATAAAATTATTCTTTTTTCTAAATATATTTTTTTTAAATATAAATATTTATATTTTTATAAATATAATTTTTTAAAAATATTAATTGATATTTTTATAAATATATTTATTTTAAATATACATATACATATATTTATTTTTATATATATATTTTTTTCAAATATAAATATTTTTTTTATAAATACATTTTTTTAAATATATTTTTTTCAAATATATATATATATATTTTTTTTTTATTTTTATAAATATATTTTTATCATTGTTTTCTTTTTCAAGTATAAATATTTATGAAAATAATTTTTTTTTTTAAATTATCATATTTCTATTTCGTCATAACAATAATTATTTCACAAACCTTGAAATTTCCATCTACCTGAATTTGAAGTCCAGTCCAAAAAAAAGTCGCACAAAAGCAGCTGCCACATTTAAACAATATTGTGAATTTAAAAAAAAAAAAATCGAGCAAAACTAAATTAACTTTTTTTTTCATATAAAAAACGAACGCGATTTTAAATAAATTCGAACACTACCGAAAAAAATCTACACACATTTAATAAAATTATATATTAAACAATTAATAAAAACATTGAAAATTAAAAAAAAAAAAAATTCCACACTCACGACACGTTTAAACTTGTCGATTCACAAATTGCAACTGAAATGTTCAAATTAATTGTATATATATATATATATATATATATAGAAATTTGTAAACCTATTATTGGTTATTATCTTCGATATACAATGTGACCACCCTGTGTTTGTATATTCTGAATACCGTACGTAAACAAAACCACTTTGGGATGTAGTGGAGAATTTCAAAACCACAATTATTCCTTTGTTTATTGATGCATTGAAATTAATTTTTTAAAAATTTATAATAATTATTCAAATATTATTTTATTATAATGATTTTTTTAAAAACAATTTTTAAAAAATATATTGTTGCCCGTGTATTTTTTATAAATAAATAAAAATATTCAAAAAAAAAAAGTTTCATTATTAAAAAAATTGTTTTTTATTATTTTTAAATGTTTTTTTTCTTAAACTCACAGTAGTTGGAGTTCGGGATTCGACCTGTTAAAACGTGTTCAATTATTGTGATTTTAGTTTTCGAGATGCCAGGTGTTTTTTTTAAAGATCTCAATTATAATAATTTTATATATATTATATATGCAAAAATTATATTATTATTTTATATAATATATTATTATTTATAATATATATTAGTAATTATAATATTAATATAATTATAATATAATTATAATATAATTATTATTATATATTAATGCAGGAATGTGGAAAATTTTTAAATCGTAAAAATTATTATAAATACAGTATTTTTTACTATCATAATTAATTCGGGATTCGACCTGTTTAAACGTGTTCATTTGTATTTTTAGTTTTCGAGACGCCACGTATTTCTTCCTCTATTTGTACTATTTTATTTTTTGTTTATTTTTCGATTCAAAAACAAATTTCTTTTTTTTTGAAATTATTTAAATTAAAAATTTATTTAAAATTAAATTAAACGAAAAGTGTGGAAATTAAAAAAAAAAATACTATTTCATCATGAAAACATTTATAACTTAAAGCAAATGCTGTCTGGATATCTTTCATTTTGCAACATTTCAAAACACACCAACTCGAGTACTTGGGTACTTACCTCCTATAGACTTAACAACCCTCTCTTTAACGACAATCGCTAGACTCTCACTTTTCAGTAAAAAATTGCAATGTTTTGCAGTCGAATGGCTGAGTTTTCAAATCATTAAAGAGCCTTCATACATTCGTCGCATAATCCCTTTTATAATTTTTGTACAAGAAAAAGCGTATGTACATACGTTTACGTATGAACGTTCGTTTAGGGATGGTGATAGTGGAAAAAAAGGGGGTGTTTTCGAGAAAGGGATGAATAAAAAAAAGAGAGAGAGAGAGAGAGAGAGAGAGGGAGAGAGAGATGGGGAAAAAAGAGAGAAGGAGAAAGAAAAGAGAGTGAAATTGCAGGAAAGAATATAAAAGTGAGAGGAAGCGTTGCAAGAACCAGTCACCAAAGAGACCGCAGAATCTCCGTTGGTCTCTTTGGTCAGGTCCCTTCTGAAAACTTTGTTACATTTTTGGTTGAGTCCACATATACGCGATACGTTGGACGAATAAGTGCATCAAAGGGATGAGCATGGACACATATGTAGGAGAGAGGATGAGAGAGAGAGAGAGAGAGAGAGAGAAATTCGATGTCTACCCGCTCTTCTTATTATCCGGGTTTCGGCGGAAAGTCCTCTTTCGAATCCCTCCGGCAAAAGCTTCGCCAGAGAGATAGAAAATATGTACCACAGTCCGTATATAACGCCCTGGTATTAACAAACTTTATTATCTTGTCATACGACAATGGCTTTACACTCGAGTTCCTAAAAAGCCTGAAATTTTTCATTCTCAGCAAAAGTCGAGTCTCTCAACTCTTTTTCTTCTCTTTTTCCAAAAAAAAAAAAAAACAAACAAAATAGATAAATATTAGAGTGGTTCTGCAAGAAAAAATTTTTTTTCGAATTTTATTTTCCTTTTGAAAAAATGTTACTATCAGCTGATCATAATTTTTGAATTATAATCCTTAAAATTAATCCTCGATTAATATTAAATTAATGGCAAAATCAGTTTCGCTAACAGATCCAGATAGCATGTAAGCTTGCAGGAACCTTGCGGTAAGCTTTCCTTGCAATATTGACAACCTTGCACGGCAAACTTGCCGCAAGCTTCAAATATCCCACCAGATCCAAGCTTGCGTGGTAAGATTACCGAAAGATTGCAGTGTAAGGTTGGCAATATTGCAAGGAAAGCATGCTGCAAGCTTACCTGGTATCTGGGGAATTTGTAAAACTTGCCGCAAGCTTCAAATGTCCAAGTTTGCGTGGTAAGATTACCGAAAGATTGCAGAGTAAGGTTGGCAATATTGCAAGGAAAGCTTGCTGCAAGCTTACGTGCTATCTGGGGAATTTGTAAAACATAAAATTTTATTTTTCATTTTCTATCAATTAAGAAAAATAATATTATCAACTTTATTTATTATTAATATCTTAAATACAATAATATTCTAAATAATAACAGCAACCTTGCGGTAAGCTTTCCTCGCAATATTGCTAACCTTGCACGGCAAACTTGCCGCAAGCTTCAAATGTCCAAGTTTGCGTGGTAAGATTACCGAAAGATTGCAGTGTAAGGTTGGCAATATTGCAAGGAAAGCTTACCGCAAGCTTACGTGCTATCTGGGGAATTTGTAAAACATAAAATTTTATTTTTCATTTTCTATAAATTAAGAAAAATAATATTATCAACTTTATTTATTATTAATATCTTAAATACAATAATCTAAATAATAACAGCAACCTTGTGGTAAGCTTTCCTCGCAATATTGACAACCTTGCACGGCAAACTTGCCGCAAGCTTCAAATGTCCCACCAGATCCAAGCTTGCGTGGTAAGATTACCGAAATATTGCAGTGTAAGCTTGGCAATATTGCAAGGAAAGCTTACCGCAAGCTTACCTGCTATCTGGGGAATTTGTAAAATATAAAAATTTTGTTTTTCATTTTCTATCAATTAAGAAAAATAATATTATCAACTTTATTTATTATTAATATCTTAAATACAATAATCTAAATAATAACAGCAAACTTGCGGTAAGCTTTCCTCGCAATATTGACAACCATGCACGGCAAACTTGCCGCAAGCTTCAAATGTCCCACTAGATCCAAGTTTGCATTGTAAGATTACCGAAATATTATAGTGTAAGGTTGGCAATATTTCAAGGAAAACTTGTTGCAAGCTTACCTGCTATCTGGGGAATTTGTAAAACATAAAATTTTGTTTTTCATTTTCTACTAATTAAGAAAAATAATATTATCAACTTTATTATTAATATCTTAAATACAATAATATTCTAAATAATAACAGCAACCTTGCGGTAAGCTTTCCTCGCAATATTGCCAACCTTGCACGGCAAACTTGCCGCAAGCTTCAAATGTCCAAATTTGCGTGGTAAGATTACCGAAAGATTGCAGTGTAAGGTTGGAAATATTGCAAGGAAAGCTTACCGCAAGCTTACGTGCTATCTGGGGAATTTGTAAAACATAAAATTTTATTTTTCATTTTCTATTAATTAAGAAAAATAATATTATCAACTTTATTTATTATTAATATCTTAAATACAATAATATTCTAAATAATTTTTGTACAATAATAATTTTTTTTATAAAAATAAATTTTTTTTTTTAAGCATTGCTAAAGGAACACGTGGCTTGGGATGTATTATTATTATTATTGTTATTATAATTGACATCGGGTGCGTGAAAACTTTTCATATGATTGTCAAGAGTAACAGGACCTTTAAAATATTTATGACACGTGTCGCAATACCATTTATATTTGTTCTCATGTGATTTTTGATGTTTGTTGAGTAAATCCTTTCTTGCAAAAGCACGATCACACATTGTACATGGAAATTTGTCTGGATTTGTATGGAAAATATTGTGTCTTGTTAAATTATCCATTCGCGAATATTTCTTAAGGCAAATACCACAAACATATTTATTTCGATCCGAATGACATCGTTGATGATAACGTAAATAACGTTTTTGTGCAAATGATTTTTCACAAGCACAACAAGCCACCTAGGATAAAATATTTTCATTATTTGAAAAAAAAAAAAAATCACAAGACCATCTCTAGAATTATCAAAAATTAAGTACTTTATTTATTATTTTTATTAAAAAAAAAAAAAATTCTTTAAAAAAAAATATTTTTTCTAAATTCTAAACAAAAAATATATAGTTACCCTATTTGATTCGTCTAATCGAACATTTAAATGATCTCTCATTTCAGCCTCGGTTTCAAATTCTTTTTTACAAAATTGACATGTGGATTTTTTCTTTTTTTTATTTTTCTGCAAATTTTCTATAAATTTAGGATCTGTCATTATTTGATATAAAAATGATCCCTTCATTTTTTCCTCATTATTTAATGTCACATTAAAATTATTATTGTTATTATATTCTTGAAAAGATTTAGTGCCATTAATTAATAATTTTGGCAAAATTGTTAATGTTACATCAGTATTTGTTTTTAATATCATTTCTTCATTATTGAATACCTAAAAAAAAAGTATGATTTTTTTTTTTAAATTTGTTGATTATAATTTTTTTTCATTATTATATTTTTATTTCAAAATTAAATATTGTAAAATATTTAATTTGGTATTTCAAAGTAGAAAATTTTTTTTTTTTTTAAATATATAAAAATTATCAAAAAAAGTAGGAAGCAACGGAGTATTTTATGTATAAACTCTTATATTCTTGTTTACATTTTTACGAAAGTAGCAAATCGGCAAATTCATTTTACGTAAAACATGTAGGGACATTTTCAAAATGAGATTTACTAGACGACACTTTATGTCTCACTTAACGTAATTGTAACATGCAGCTTTTTTATCATAAAACTTGTACCTTTTTCTTAGTGGATAAATCCAAACCAGTTGAATTTTTCAAATTGAAGAAATTTTCATTTTTTTTATTTACAATTATTTCCATACACTTATCACTATTATTTGTAATAAAAAATTTTTCATTTCTATTTGGATTAACTCTTCTAGGAATTGATTTTATGCGCATTTTTTTGATTTCTAAATTTTTTATATTTAATTTAAAAAAAAATTATTTTAATTTAAAATTATTATTTTTTTTAAATTAATAATTTGATTCTTTTAAAAATTATAGATTTAAATTTAAAAAAAAAAAAAATAAAGCACATTGAGAAATTTTATTTTTTTTTAAATTCAAAAATTATATTCACACGAAATAATTTTATAGACTTGTCATGTCTTGATATATACGAAGCTTTTCGTAAACTGATTGAAAATGATCATAAACTTGTCGATATACACAGTCACCTTAATTTGACATTGCTGTGATACATAACAAAAGGGTCCTGCGGAGTAGCCGATTCTCTGTTTTGCAAACATAGTCGTTTCATGGGAAATTATTTTCAAAATAATATAAATAGAAAATTTTCCAATTTCAAAAAATTTTCTTTAATTTATTTTCATTTTATTTAAATTAAATCAAAATTGGAAAATTTATTTATCACGTCTATTTTTTTTTCATTTACAAAAATTTAAATCCAATTTTTTTTTTTTTATTTTAATTTCAGAAAATCTTGAAAAAGAAAACAATTACAAAAATCAGGAAAATTTTTTATTATTTTTCTTTTACCTTAATTCTAGTTTATCTGTAATAACTCGAGCAACCAACCACCACCTCACAGTATTGTCATATAACCACGAGCAATGGCAGTGCTTTTCTTTATTTCCCCAGTGGCTGGATGAGGTTATACATTAATTTTTTTTTTTTTTTTTCTTTATTCTCGTGTCTTGGTCGTCTTTTTTTTTTAACTGCAGAAGCAATGCCTCCATTTTTCTTCTTATTAGCAAAGCTAATTGGAAATACAAAAGGTTATTCATGGCAAAAAAAAAAAAAAAAATGAGGTAAGATTGTCAAGACAGGTTAAAGGGAGGGGAGACAGTAAAGAGAAAAAAAAAAGTGGGGGGGAAAGTTGGAAAAATCGAAAAGAGGTGGAAGAAAAAAAGGGAGAGGTACACTCTTGAGTATTAAGATATTTGCCCCCTGGATAATTAGGACTTTTTTCCTGGCCAATTTGGATGAATAATTGATTTTACTTCTTCATCTCCCCCCCCCCTTTGCCCTCTCCACCTCCCCCCAACTCTCTAATACAACACGATTTTCCATGAAACGAGCGAGCAAAACTTTTCATCCCATCTCTTTTCGAATGACAATCAACGACGAAAAATAAAGATCTCACCAATGAAATATTCAATGAAGCTCGTTTGGAATGAGGGGAGAAGGGAACTTGATGAAAGATGCAGAAGAACATTAAACTTGCAAGCATTAAGAACGTTCTTTATTTCAAAAAAAAAAATTTGTATTTTTCTTGGAAAGATTTTTTGAGGATTTTATAATAAACTTTAAAATAAAGTTTGAAAAAATATTATTAGTTATCACATAACGAAAAATTTCTATATTCAGTTAACTTCACTCATGTAAAAACCAATGGCAAATATTAAGTAAATGAAGTTAATTGAATATAGAAATTTTTTGTTTCGGGCAGCTGCAATTTAAAAATAATAATTAAAAAATTTCTATTATAAAATAGAATTTGAAATTTTGAAATTAGCGTTTATATAAAAGGAAAGTAAAAATAGTAGGAATATAGTATATAATTTGGAATGATTTGAATGGATAGTATTCCAGGATATTTGTATGGAAATCAATGACATTATAACATTGCAGAATGGAAGCTTCAAATACCCGTAACTTATTCAGATAAGGGGTTGTAAAACGATGTCGTAGCTATCTGCCAATACGGTTTCTGTCCCCCTTCCTATTTCACCACTTCTCCTACACCTTTCAAGTAAAATAGCCCCAGCACAGTTATAGAGAGGGCAATTCTGCAGAAATTGATGCCATTTGAATATCGCACGACAAACGCTCCCACTCTCTCTCTCACTCTCTCTTTCTCAAGATGAAAACCCAAAAGGGATTTTCACACCGATAGATCTCTATCTGTACTCAATTCCATTTTATCAAATACAATCTTTTGATTTTCTGCCAATTTACCAAAAAAAAAAAAATAAATTACAATACAATTTCGAGAGTAGCTCAAAGATAAATAAATTGCTTTTTATATTTTTTTTAAATTTATTTATAAAAATGTTGCTTTATAATTGTTTAAATAACATATTGTTTTAATCCGTTATTCATACACTGGGTCATTTGGACCCAAAAAACAATACTAAAACAAAATTGTTTTGTTTCATATCGAGTCTATTAATTAATAATACTAAATCTAAACGGAAAAAATTTTTTTTGTTTCATATCGAGTCTATTAATTAATAACTAAATTTAAACAGAAAAAAATTGTTTTGTTTTATATCAAGTCTAAAAAACTAAATCTACAGTGAAAAAAAAGAATTTGAACCCGTTATTCATACACTGGGTCATTTGGACCCAAAACGACACTGAAACAAAATTGTTTTGTTTCACATCGAGTCTATAACAACTAAATTTATAGTGTAAAAAAAGAATTTGGGAATTTGAACCCGTTAATCATACACTGGGTCATTTGGACCCAAAAATGATACTAAAACAAAATTGTTTTGTTTTACATCGAGTCTATAACAACTAAATCTACAGTAAAAAAAAATTTTTCGGAATTTGAAGCCGTTAATCATACACTGGGTCATTTGGACCCAAAACGACACTGAAACAAAATTGTTTTGTTTCACATCGAGTCTATAACAACTAAATTTATAGTGTAAAAAAAGAATTTGGGAATTTGAACCCGTTAATCATACACTGGGTCATTTGGACCCAAAAATGATACTAAAACAAAATTGTTTTGTTTTATATCGAGTCTATACCAACTAAATCTACATTAAAAAAAAATTTCGGAATTTGTAGCCGTTAATCATACACTGGGTCATTTGGACCCAAAACGACACTGAAACAAAATTGTTTTGTTTCATATCGAGTCTATTAATTAATAATACTAAATCTACACTAAAAAAAATTGTTTTGTTTTATATCGAGTCTAATAATTACTAACTATCCCTTATAGAAATTTCTTACAAGAAAATAATGTTAAAGCTGAAATGTTTTCAGTATAATGTTTTTTGTATAATATTTTCCCGATTATAGGTAATTTTTTATAAAGATTCATTATAAAAATTTTTTTTCTCAAATAATTATAAAAATATAATAATTATTAGAGACTCTGTAATGAAATCATTACAATTTTACAATTATGAAAATGTAATTATAGAAAATAAAATTTTTCACATGCAAAAATTAAAATATTATAAAATTAAAATTATAAAAATTTAATTACAGAAATTAATTAATTTTCTATTTTACTGATAACTACACTCAGAGAAATGGTATATTTGTCTCCGAGCCTACTAACCCATTTATTTGTTGCAAATATATTTCATTTCATTGAAATAAAAAATTTATTTGAGTCAAAGAAAAATTTATTTCTGACAAATAAAATTTTTATTTACGCCAAATAAATAAGTTAGTAGGCTCTGAGACAAATATACGTTTATTTAACTCAAATATATTTTATTTGGTTCAAATAAATCATTTCTCTGGGTGTATATATCAGTAAAATTTCTATAAGGGATAAACCCATACTTTAGGAATTTTCTGTACTCAATTCCTTTTTATCAAATACAATCTTTTGATTTTCTACCAATTTACCAAAAAAAAAAAAAAAAAAATACAATATAAGTTCGAGAGTATAGCTCAAAGATAAATAAAAAATTGCTTTTAATTTTTTTTTTTTTTCATTAAAATTTATTTATAAAAATGTTGCTTTGTAATAACAATATTATTTTTCTAAAGAAAATTTGTGAAAGAGAATTTTATGAAGTTTAAAAAAAAACATATATATATAAATCTAAAATACGCGCAAATAAACTCAATCATCTAAAATTCAGAATTGCAAATTCTTTAATTCCTGGTACTCAGTGATGGCGACGATGAAAAAAAAAGAAAAAAAAAAGAAAAGAAGTGAGTAGCGGAGGCAAATGCCTTCCCTTGACCTATACAAACATCGCGAGAAACGAGGAGAGGATGTGTATTCAAAAATTTACATAGGTACATTCTGATTAAAGTGTTCTAGAAAGCAAATCTAATACAACGGCAGTTGGTGGCGTTTGCACGCGCGGGGTTTTGAAAAGCAAATCCCACGTCAGTTGTAGAAACTCTCGTCGGACATACGACGACAACGAAGGGTGGAGGAGGGAGGTTGTGAAAGTCCAAGCTATATCCTTTTGGAAATATATAACTTGTAATGTTGAATTTTATTATTAATTTGATTTTTTATTTTTTTTTAATTCTAGACTGATAGTAGAGATATTTTTTATATTATATATTTTTTTTACCAATAAAAAAATAAATAATAATACAATTCGCTTTGTTGAAAATTAGGTCAAAATTTGGTTCTGGGGTGCGATTTTGTAACTTGACTCCAGTTTCACTCCAGTTTCACTCCAGTTTCACTCCAGTTTCACTCCAGTTTCACTCCAGTTTCACTCCAGTTTCACTCCAGTTTCACTCCAGTTTCACTCCAGTTTCACTCCAGTTTCACTCCAGTTTCACTCCAGTTTCACTCCAGTTTCACTCCAGTTTCACTCCAGTTTCACTCCAGTTTCACTCCAGTTTCACTCCAGTTTCACTCCAGTTTCACTCCAGTTTCACTCCAGTTTCAGTTCAGTTTGAAGTGAATAAAGTAAAAGTGGAGTGAAAGTGAAGTGAAAATCGAGAATATCTAAATATTACATAAATTGCGAGTGGGAATTTTAGAAATTAAAAGCATAAATTCTCTATGCATCGTTGTTTATATGAAAAATAAAGAAAGTGAACAAAACATTTTTAATCTTTTAGCTTCTGATTGAATGTAAAAAATATAAAATCAGTTTTTCATGGGAAAAATATCTCAACTCTGACATATTATATGGATGAAAGAATATGACACTGAAATGAAATTTAAATTTTCTCACAGTGGAATTCCTCTCTCTTTCTATATATATTTATATATATATCCATAGGGCGAGCACAGTTGTAATTGCAAAATTGCATTAGCTTTGTGTTCTTCTGTTCGTCCAGACGTAAGAGATATTCGTTGTGTCGGATGATTTATAAATACTTTTCCCCTTTCTTTTATTTTTTTCCCCAACTCACGCCCTATACACACACTAAAATTTTAGATTTCAGTTTTGTAATATAAATAAATTTCTTTAAAACATTTTTATTTATATACGATAATCAAGAACGGAAAAACATTAATGTGTCAAGGACGTTAAAAGCAAAAAATTATAGGTTATGTTTTGAAATGAAAATACATGTCTTCATTATATCTAAAATAATTAATAAAATTTTATTTTGATATTGCAGAAAAAAAAGAAACTTTTAATCAAGGTAAAATTGTAGTAAACATAATCTATATTTTTTTTTTTGCCCTTTTACAAAAGTTAAAATATACTTTGCTTCCTTTAGGCTTCGTGGGTGCAACACATTTTTTCTTTTTTTTTGAATGTGGTAAGCAAAATGCAATTTGAAGACAAAGCAAAGAAAAACTAGCGAGCTGTGTCGCTCGATGACGAAGGAGTGGTCGTAAAGGGAGAATCACTGTGGCTCGAAACAGGTCGTTCATTATGATTTAATACTAACACGGCGGTAATGTCGTCAGAGAGACTCCTGTGTATAAATAATTCGCATGTCCGGACGCCCACCCCGTGAGGACTGTAGTCAGGCAAAAGAGAGTGAAAGAGAGAGAGAGAGAGAGGTGAGGGGGGGGGGCAAAAAAAAGAGGGGTCAGGGTTTTTTTTAATGCGGCATCTCTGGGGGCGACGAGGATTACTAAGGCTAAAAAGGAAGTTTTTAATAATTTTTCATTTTCTCTATATTTATTATCGCACGCTTCCTAACCGGCGGGGTGTTTGCTGGAGACAATGGAGGGTCGTCCAGAGGTTACGGGAAGGCCATCCAACGATTGTCAGTTGGTCTTGTAAAACTTTAATTTGTTCAACCACTCCTTTTTTTCCCTCTTACGTTCCCC